CCCGGTGCCGGCCCGCATGTGCGCGCGAGCGTCGACCCCCACACCAGCTCCGGGGGCCGTGTTGCACTCAGAGCCCCCCAGCCCCCTTTCCCCTGCCCCCGCCTGGGCCGTGCTTTACGGGTTCTCGGGGGCCGACCACCGGGCAGGGGCGAGGGGGGGGACCCAGGCCACATGGGGGTGGCCTTCCCCGGACTCCCGCAAGCTCTCCCTTGACTGAGCCGGTATGCGGTTCCGGTTGCTGCCCCGACCCAGCTGGCGGTGCTCCACTTGGCTGTGCGACTCTGCCTGCCGCCCCCCCCCCCCGCCGGTTTGGGGGAGGCCCGCCATGCGTGCCCGAGGCCAGGGCAAATTCCCACAAGGTTGACCTGTGGTGGGCGCCTGGCCCCCGGCGCCTGTGTGGCCATCCGCCCCCCCCCCCGTACCTGCGGCGGCGCGAACGGGAAGGGCTATCTCTCATGGCCTCCTCTACCGAAATGATACGGGCCCACTTGCCTGCCCGCCCGGCCGCCCGCCGCCGCCAAGGGGACAACGTTCCCCCACCCCCCCCTCCCCCTCCAAGTAGCTCTGTAGGGCCTTCCTTCCCTGAAGGCGGAACACGCCCAACCAGATCCGAGGGCGCGAAGCCAAGGGTGTGCAGCCGGACAAAACACCAGCCGAGCGCCCGGCTCGCCCCCCTCGCCCGGAGCAGGACCAGCCTGCCGGGCCGTGCATGTGTGTACTCACCTGCAAATAAAAGTGCACCCGTACGGCATATGTACCGTATCGGCGCACCGCATGGCATGCACTCCTCGTGTGTTATTATTTCGTCCTCTTTACGGCGGTTTTTCGCGGCGTCCCCCAGCCCCCGAACGGGGGGGGAAGGAAGGGGGGGGGGGGGGGGGCGAGCACGCGGGACCCGTGCCACAACCCTGGCACATCCACCATCCGGCTCCCTCGCCGGGGGGTCGTCTCCTCGGCTCTGCATTGTGTGCGTGGGTAGGGCCCAGGCAGGACAGAGGGGGCGGCGGGCTGGGGGCGCGGCCGGACATGTGGGGCGGGCGCGGGGCGTTGGATGTGCACCGGTACCTCGTCGGACACTAAGCTCACAAATGTACACACGCGCACGCATGCATACCCCATTCGCCAGCGCGCCAGCCCATCCACCCGTGTCCCAATGGGCGGGAGGGCGGCGGGATTCCTCCCGCCCTGTCCCCTGCCCCCCCCCCCCCCCCCCGAGGGCGTGCCGGCGCCCCGGCGGGGTCGGTCAATCTCGCCCGCTCCTGTACTCTTTCTCTTTGAGAGCCCCCATACCCGCGGCGTATCGTGCCCGAGCTCAGCCCCCCCCCTCCCGTTTCGTTTCTCAGACCCTGTGTTGAGCCCACCTTCTCCTTTGCGTGGCGCACGGCTGTCCCCTTCTGACTACGAACGGTTCGTTCGACTGCGCCTCCTGTCGCCCTTTGTCGTCTGCCCCGCTCCCCGCTCCCCGCTCCCTGCTCCCTGCTTCCTACTCCCGGCTCCCGGCTCCCGGCTCCCCCC